TGGCCCTTTGGAAAAATAAAAGCAACAAATGAACAGGGTGTAAAGATTTCATTTATCTAATCATTTCTGTTGATACACTGATAAAAGACAACGGTTAAGGTGTAAGTAACTGCTACATAGGTGATGAAAGCTGTGATTAATTACATGCCAATTACATAAATATATATATCCTTACCGACTTGTACTGTAGATAGAGTTCTGTGAGTACGTCTAGCTGATGATACTTGGCTGATGATGAGAGCTGTTACCATATCCACGGACGAGAACAGAGTGGGGTTTCCACAGCAATCGAGGTCCCATGTTGATTTTCCACGTCATTTATTACCCACAATCCATTTATACTATACATTATCTGTTGATATATACTAAAGGAGTTGATAAAAAAAAGTCATATATATTACTGAAGAAAAAATTATTAAGTCCTTTATATTTTATATGCATTTCTTGAACAATGAGGAATATATTCCTCATGGCGTCTCTGTGACGTAGAATGTGGACGGCCTCTCCTCATGACGTCACCAACTGTCATATGTTTTCCTCGTTAGCAGACGATATTCCTCAAAACGGCAGCCCTGCCTCACTCCCATAGGATCTACGCTAAAGAAAATAAAAATGAAAGTTTTATTTACGTATTTTTGAAGGCTTATGCTAGTATTAAAAGTTGTACAATAATTGTATGGAATGGAGATGTTTTGTTTTATTTTAATTGGAGCCACTGATCAAATGTATAAAATAAATAAAAATATCTTACTTGCGACGCTTGCGACCGCTGGATTCCATCCAACGTCGCTGGTTGGCTAGCGATGACATCACTTATTAAGCTCCGCCCACTGAGTTACATCCAATACTGTACCTCAATATTACACACCATGAAGTGGCAAAAGGGGCGTGGCTTAGCGATCTCGAGAGTAGAGTTGCCAATTAGTGAATTCCTATGGGCCTGCGTGAGGCTACCTGGTATCTACCTACCTTGCGTTGAAAAACATCACTTCTCGTCCCATCAGCGAAGTTAAACAACGTCTTATTCTGGTTAGTACTTGGATCCGTGGCCGCCAGGGATCATCATCGGCTTAACCTTTAAACTATACAAAATCACTACCGGAAATAAGCTACTGGTGGCTTTGAGGCTACCATAGTCGTATTACCTAACCTCATCATCCACACATACACACACAATGGTGGGTCTAGATTTTTTTTTGGAGGGGGGGCACTCTGATGTGTTTAAAGGGGGGGGGGGAGTCCAAGGAGCCTTGTAGTCACGTATTTAAAGTTTCATTACAATCATTGGTTTCTTTAGGTATTTTATGATGAAATATTGTAGTTTTAATGTAAGGGCGGGAACTTCCTTACTTTATTTCATACTATTCTTCTGATTTATTCATATACTTATTTCAAATATTTCTTCTCTTCAACAAGTATCCTGTTTTATATAGTTATTATTCTTCAATACTTATATACTTTTTAAATTATTTTCTTACTCATGTCTATCTTTTATATTAAACTTTTATGCTGTATATAATTAGTAATTTTCTATGCTGTCTTTATTTCCACGGTGGAAACATATCTCATATTTCTCTGCTTATATTTTCCAAGTCAATATTCTTGTCTTTACCTCATTTCTTTTTATATGTAATATTATATTTTCTGAATTCCAATGTCCTTACCTTGGTGAAGTAAACTCTGTTTTTACTTATATTCTAATACATAGATTAGTCTGGGGAACCATGTCTTTCTTATTACAACACTGATCATACTTTCAACGGTAGCCTGCCACCACCCAGACTTTTAATAGAATAACATGTTTTAGTGCATTGTTAGGTAGTGTGGTAGAGAGTTTCTAGGCCCGTGAGTACAAGTATTATTTTCTGAGAACCAATGTTTAGAAGGAATAGAGTGATGATGCTGGTAGTTTACTAATTTAATATTTATTAACACAAGGAGTGAATAAGATGTTAATTAAGTTCACTCAGACAAGCCTGGACCCTCAGGTCTTACTTTACCATTCATGAAATAGATCTGCAATTACTTATTATATCATTAAACAACTTCAATTACTTATTACATCATTAAACAACTTCAATTACTTATTACATCATTAAACAACTTCAATTACTTATTACATCATTAAACAACTGTTGCATTATTTTTTTGACAAATTAGATACAGTAATTATTACACACGTTTAGATCGGACTGGACCCTCAGGTCTTACTTTACAAGTAACAAAGTAACAAATTACATCTTCAATTCTCGGTTACAACATCTAACAATCATTATATTATTTCATTGTCAGTGCAAGTGGGTAATATGACACACTTGACACTATCCCGAATTAAAATATTCTTTATAACAACGTGCTATTTCGGAATGAATAACATGGCACTTTAACTAGCATTCAGTGGTTGGTGGATTCAACTCCGATAACAACAGTACCACTGGGATGCCAACATTCATGGGTTCAATACTTAACCTGGGATAATTATATGTCTGTTAATTATCACCGATCATATACAACAATAGTAATACTTTGACCCAGGGGCGCACCCAGAAATTGAGTAGGGGGGGGGGTTTCAAATTACTGAGAAGTCTGGCGAGCGTAGGGAGCCCTTTCAGCTGGGGGGGGTCCGGAAAATTTTTGAAATCTGACCAATATTTGACGCCATTTGCACTGAATCTTAGGAAATAATCTGAGGTTGAAGATGGTGTAATTTAGCACCCTATTCTTTGTATATAGATTTATATTACAGGATAATAGAAGTCATAATTTTTTTTTAAATATTTTATCTACACAATTTTATAATACATGAATTTACTGCACTAAATATAGAGTATATAATATGGATATTGCTGTACTGAATGTGTAACAATCATTAAGCATTTTAATACTTGTATATAATGACTAACTAACATTGAACACTAACAGAGCTCATAAAATTTGCTTAGCAGTTTTTGAACACCAGTAAAATACATTGCCTTTATTTTTCTGCAAGTCCATTGGCAAATTTCATCTTCCTGGGATTTCTCTGTGCAAATGTGTCAATTACTTGGTTTATATCCACTGGTATATCTCGGTGCATTTGCAGTAATATCAGGCCTGTCAGTCTCTCATTCCCCATTGTTGATCTGAGTTTTGTTTTTATTCATTTCAGGCCACTAAATGATCTTTCTGCAGAGCATGTCGTTACTGGCAGGGTGCACAGGATAATGAGCAGGGTCCTCACGTTGGGGAACATGGAACTTGGTGTCTGGGAGAGGGTGGTGGTCAGTGTAGTTGGAAGACTGGTTGGGGTGAGGTTGACCCTACTTTCGTGTTACTAAGGTGTCGCCAGGTCAGGTATGGGTTGGCCGCACCATGCAGTACCTGGAGGGGGGGTTTCCGGGCAACCAGGAAACCCCCCTGGGTGTGCCACTGCTTTGACTCATATAACTGTAAGGAGTGCCCCAGGGTATAACACTGGTGTCTCCACAACAAATGAAGATCGCTGTTAGGGGTCGGTTATAGACTGGCACACGGCGACTCGGCGAGGGAGTCCAGCCTAGTTCCCAGGGGCAGAGTCTGCCAATAGCATATAATCCTGCCGAATTAACGACATCATCCACTACAGCTAACTGTTATGCAGCTACCGATTCCCAGTAGCTGCTGGGTATTCAGCTTACACACACACTGGCCTGTGATAATTTTTGGAGAGCGTCAGAGAAATGTATAATAATAACTCAATCACAAACAATCTTTTGTCTAGCAATGACAGACAACATTTACGTTATATTAATTCTTTCACTGGGTAAGTGACAATTTCACTGTTACAACATGATCACTGATATTCACAAAATCGGCTAAGTTAAATTGAATTAACATGGCGGCGGGAAATCTTACACATACCTGTGATAATTTTTGGAGAGCGTCAGAGAATGTGGCACTTTCCCGTGCACAAGCTTAAATACAGCTAACTGGCAACTCAACACATGCCAGAAATGGCTAACCATGCAGTGACAGAAATTATATTCAAATCAATTGCTGCACATTTAAATATGATACTCAGTAGCCACGGGTCAGGCGAATTTTTTAAGTGGATTTACATAATCTAATCAGAGATTGAGCTTGCCAGGAAAAAGGGGAATTACACACCTTGATAACTTTTAGTTTACCAACTGGGCGGGATTTCTAGACAAGGAGCCTTTATGCATATACGTTGAGATGTTGGAGATACGGAGTTTGACATGTTCTTTTCAGGAGATTAATGACTTTCTTAAATTGACAACTGAAAATAACTAAATTACAAACATTAGATTCTCTGATGTTTAGGCAACAAAATTATCTAACTTCAGTAGCAATTGGAAACTCATGGCTAGTCCTAGGGACAAAATCATGAGATGCCATTCGTACAGGCAAACTCGACTCTCACTTACTAGACAAGTGTTACTAACAACAAAGACAGTTGAAGCCTTCAACATTACTCACAAAGGATCTTGAATGCTTTAACTGTATCAAACATATCTAAGTTGACTCAAAACAATGGTGTTTTCTCTCATATTCAAATTCACTGTACAGAGAGGTTGGTTTCAGGAAGTCAGAGAAAATGGGATAATGGACTGAGGCGTCTTGAAGCGATGAGAAAACGGACTCCTCAGACGGGTGACTCAAAGGAAAGCAGAGCTACATGTTTTGTGGGCTATTGAGCGTAATATGAATCGTCTTATTTTACGTTAACTGACGTGTTTGACTGTGGTCATTACATTAAAGATGTTAATTCAAGGTATTAAATTATTTTGGTTAGATATGATTGTATGGCTGTCGAGACGCAGAAGGACTGGTGCAGCAAGAGGACGAATGTACACAGTGATGGGTGGATGACTACTGACTACTGTACACAGTGACCGACCGGACTCCAACAAGAAGAAGGAGGTAGACGAATGTATCCAGTACAGTGAAGGTGGATGGAGAAGGAGTGTTGTACAGTACAGTATTTAGAGACTGTACTGGAGACTGGCAGGATTACATGGAAACCACTGTAGCTATAATGGTCTAAATATATTAGAATAAATGTTGTTGAATATAAAACCAGTAATACTTTTAATTTATCATACCTATTGCTTATTGATAGGTTTTAGATATGTAAACATAATTTTTGTAGCATGTTTTGATAAAACAAGTTGCTCTGGCGCTTCCATACATCTAAAATTTAAAATTTCTCTAAAATTTGTATACTTCATGAGCCCATGCAATTCAAATTTTTGAGTATTCTGATTCCAAATATAACTTTACTTTTTTTACAGCATCAATAGTTTTATCAGAAATTATCAATTAATTTTTTATCGTCTCTGAAATTTAACCAGAAATCAGAAGGTGAAATGTTGATTTACATCACATTTGCTAATGAAATAAATGAAGCGAGAACACAATTTTATGTTTTATTGAAAGCATACACAACACATTTCTTTTCTACACTTGTTACTAATGAAATTGAACAATAAACTATGCTAAATATGAACACTTGAACGGCATTTTCTTTTGTGTTCCTAAGGGTCCTCTTGAATCAAACTCCACACGTAGTCACCCATCATAGCTTCATTCCATGTCCCCTGATATCTCCTCTCCATAGTTTGTATGTCCTGGTGAAGCCGTTCACCATGCTCTTCACTCACGTGTCCTAGGTTTGGTCTGAAGAATTCCAAGTGTGAATGCAAGTACTGTAGTGTAACTTCAGTGACATTCTGCAGCCAAGTTCTCTATGATATACAATACAATTTTCCACCATCTCCTTGTAGTTGTCAGACTTCTGGTTGCCCAGAAACCCATGTACTATAAGCCGAAATGCTTGCCAGGCAATTTTTTCAACAGTTGACATTTTGTCTTCCAAATCTTTATATGCCAACATCTGCCTAATTTGTGGTCCAATGAAGAAGCCTCCTTTGACTTTGGCCTCAGACAATTTTGGGAACATTAAGTGGACATGTTTAAGGGCGTTACTTTCTGGGCTTAATGCTTTGATAAACTGCTTCACAAGCCCTAACTTTATGTGAAGTGATGGCAGCAATATCGTCTCTCTTTGAATAAGAGCATTGTTACATACATTGTGTGCACCACGAGTTAATTCGCTTCCGACATGCCAATCTCTTCTGTCATAGTGTTTGTCATCTGCTCTACTATCCCATAGACAGAGAATACTTGGTATAGCCATCTTGTAGTCCAAGCAGGAAACCTATCATCTTGAAGTCTCCACATACATCCCTATTATTTCTTGTTATAGTTGAGGCTGTCCAACAAAATCTTTACATTTTCATAGTCTTCCTTCATGTGAACTAAATGACCTACCGGAATTGATGGAAGTGTATTCCCATTGTGAATCAACCAGCCTTAAGACTTTTGTTGAGCTGTCAACAAACAGACGCCAATCAGAAGTGTTGTACTCAATACCTATTTGGCCAAAAAGGCCATTGACATCAGAGCAGTAACACAGCAAATTGAGTTCCAAAACTTTGAAGAAAGGTGTAAAAGTTAGATGCCGTTTCCTGTATGTACTAATCTTGCTACTAGGATCGAGTAAATTCCACTCCTTGAGACGAGATGTCAAAACCTCAGCATTTTCCTTGGTAAGGCCTAAATCCCTGACTAAGTCATCCAGTTTGTGCTGATTAGGAAAAGTGGGGATTTGCTTGAGTCTGCTACATTAAAGTCAACATCCTCGCTCTCTTCAGAAGATGAGAAGTCAGCATTTGAAATCTCTGCTTTTTAACAGAAATCCCCCAAAATTGCATTACAATTGAGAAAAAGAGTGATATTGTTAAAGTTTTAAAAAAATATTGATAGCATGGCAAAACCAATGGCAGATTCATAACCAGCATGTCTAAATTAGTAAAGAAACATATCAAAAGCAACATAAACAAAAAAATGTTGCACAGTGTTATCTAATAATATTTATTTACAGAGCCGATCAGCCGAGATGGTTGGACAGCTACTTCCAGGGTTCATCAAGGCAGATGAAAGAAATTTACTTAAAGTAGAAGTCATTATGATAGTAGAGTATTATCAAGAACTCCGCCATCCAGCTATGAAGCACGTTAAATTAGATATGTCATCTGATCATACCCTGGCTGTGGTTGTCCTCAGTCTTTCCACAACATTAAATATAGACATTAGTGACAAAAACTTAGTTTCCAGACATGAAATAGAGAACAGTGATGAAAACTTCCATGTTGGAGTTATCGGTCTTCTGCATCATTTTGGCACCCAGCAAGTAAATACACACGATGATACTTGAGCAGTAATTTATTATAACCTAAACATAAGGTATGGCCATAAGTCCTGTATTTCTGCTGGTAACAACACATACACCACAGCTGGCTGCCTCCAGGCTCCTGTTCGGCGGCTCGAGCCAACCTGTGGCGTCACAACCAATCACAGCTTTTCACAGTCACGTGACTTGTAAGCAACTTTAACCCTTATTTTATTTTTTTTTTAAATTTTGGCCCATTTATTTTAAAATATCATTACCATAGTAAATTTAACCGTTTTCTTTACCCAGTGACCTGCCATCTTACGAAAAAATTCCGACCGACAACTCCTCTATTTAGGTTTGGGAAGGTTGTTATAGTTTAAGTATTGATTGTAATTTTGTACAATGTGTCAAATGCTCAGAGAACTTATTTGAACTCAGCTATACTTTTATTTATACTGTTATTGACATAAGTAAGTTATTCAAGAAAATAATATGTAATTATAGAAGAGAAGGGTAAAAGTCTGACTTACAGTATGTTTCATAACTGTTTATATTATAATGTGAACAATGTATTAAAACATTTGGTAGCGAATATATTATCTTTACTGTCAACTTCAACAACATCATTATTTCCTCATTCAATAGTTATAAAGATTTGATTAAAACCTACTGTATGTACACTGCTATTATGAAAGCTGAAGTAACGAAGGATAAAAGAAAACACTAAAATCAACAAAGAAGTGTCAAATAATATCATCGGTCTGAAGCAGATTGGTAACGTCATGGAGAAGTAGACAATCACTATATTGTTGTCTGACCTCAACAATGACCCCCCGCCCCCCAAATTGATTCTTGTGGAGAAAATGTCCCAATATATACAAATTCGTTATAGGCAATGACTTTCAGGAACTCATCCTTTGTGATAATTGGTGTATTCCTGTTATCGAATCAGAGGAGCTTTTATCATGATACAGTACTGTACTTATACCAGTAATTGATTTTTAAACAAAAAGGGAGCTTATACAGTGAGAAGGCAGGTAAAGACTTTCAGCATGAGTAAATAGAGGTGACAGTCCTAACATTAAAGACTTGTTATGAGAGTTGTTGTTGGTTAAAACTGGTAATATTTATTTGTCCAACACAAGGAAAGGTCTTTATTAAGCACTATGATTAAGATCTTTGCATACAACTAAATAACAATAAACCTAAAGGCTAATAACTACAATGAAAACTAATATGAAAGAAAGTTAAACTATTTCCCAATATAATCATTACAGTCTATGAATTACATATATCCATTAACTTAAAGTAATTGTTCAATGATCAATACAGAGCTTTCATCTTGTTTTTATGTACAACTGTGCTTCTAAGTTTACTCCTGGGAAGCCTCTGTAATAATACTGAACATCCTTTAAGCTGTATTTCAGGATATCCAACACATTTCCTTAGTTTATTCACTTCCCGTGTGTCCATTTTAGAGTCTGACATTGTTCTATATCTCTGACAACTTAGAGATTCACCTTCACTATCACTAGCGGGTGAATTACAGTGGTCCCTCGGTTAACGAACTGTTCGGTTAACAAAATTTCGGTTAAGAAATTACCTTCCATAAGAATCTTCAATTCGGTTAACAATCAAAAATTTGATTAACGAAATCCTTACGACAACATGTTTTGGCTTGCCCATCAGCTGATAGGCTAGTCCGCCAATGCAGTAATCGGTTCTAGACTTACAAGCGTTTCCATTGGAGTAAATATCAAGAAGGTTGTGCTCTTTAATATTTTTGCAAGTTTTATATTAAAATTATAAGTCATTTTAACATTTATTTAACATAATTAAAAATTATCAATTATGCATATATTATAATATATGCAGTACAGAGAACTAGTTTTTGGTGTGCCCATCAGCCACTTCACTCACCCACCAAGGCGTCAGTTTAACTCTCTGTACAGTGGAGGAAACATCTTGCTTGTGGGTCTCTTGAACACAGAGTATTTTTACGTTTTTACAGTACAATTATTGGTCATTCTAAAATTTAGTTAACATATTGATAATATATAGCGCAGTGCAGTGTTGATTTAAATAAAATAATCTTTAATACAGCTAGTGAACTTAATATTTTAGTGGTGAAATTACTGTATTGAATCCACCATGGGTCCAAAGAAATCTGGAAAGACAATTTCAATTCAAGTGAAACAGGAAATTATTAAGAAACATGAAGAAGGCATTTGAAAAAAAATGTACTAAGTAAAGAAAATGGCATGTCGGCATCAACAGTGTCTACAATTTCTTGTGCAGAAAGAAAAATTTAAAGAAGTGAAAGTGAGGGATAAATCTACCAGAATGTATAAAGGTAGACTATTAATTGCAGAAACAGAGAGGTTACTTCTTATTTGGATTAAAGAAAAACAAATGAAAGGAAATTCAATTTCTACTGAATTTATTTATGAAAGAGCCAGGGAAATATACGAACATTTGAAGGAAGATCAACCTAGTTCTTCTACAACTGAGTTTGAAGAGTTTAGGGCCAGCAAGGGCTGATTCGATAAATTTAAGAAAAGAAGTGACATAGGACGCAGACCGAAGTAGGCAACAGACAGAGGTAGGCAACAGACAGAGGTAGGCAACAGACAGAGGTAGGACACAGAGAGAGATAGGCAACACACACAGGTAGGACACAGACAGAGGTAGGGAACAGGCAGAGGTAGGCAACAGGAAGAGGTAGGCAACAGACAGAGGTAGACAACAGAGAGGCAGTACACAGAGTGAGGTAGGAAACACACAGAGGCGGTACACAGAGAGAGGTAGGCAACACACAGAGGCGGTACACAGAGAGAGGTAG